ATTTATTGATTCTCAAAATAATATATTATAACTTAATATATAAAACTTTAAATATATTATAGCATTACTATAAATCATTTCATTTTATTTCCGACGTGAAAATGATATAATCTCGATCGCACCATATAACGAATGACGATATGAAAACTTGTTATTTATCTCTCGATTTTTGAAAATCAAGGTGAAAAGTGACACTGATCATGTGTTTGATCTCTAACAACTTCATTTTTTGTATTTTTCAAAATCGTACTACTTTTTACTTCGATTATTAATAATAACTCAAAGGTAAAGTCTTGTATACAAAATTTTAGTTTTAACTTTTTCTTCTCCGTTTTAATCTGCAAAATATCAAGTTTATTAATAAAATCTAAATCTTGCTCATCATCATCAACAACGACACCAATAACAACAACAAAAACAAAATCAATAGATTCCTTAAACATAAATTTCAACAACAAAAAGGACAACAAATCCATGAAATCATTAAACATTAAATCTCGACAACAACAACAAATAAATAAAATCAATAGATTGTTAAATATTAGTAAAAGCAATGCTTAAGTCGAAATTAATCAATCCTTTTATGGAATTTTTCACGAAATTGTTTTATATCTCGGCATGTTATTAAGAAATTTCTAAAAAATTGAGATTTTATGATAAGCATGTTCATTTTCTTTCATATATAATTTGTAGCAATCAGGTGTTTGAATCTAATAGAATAAAATAAATAACCACTTTAGAAGAAATCCAATATTTGATAAACACGTGTGCATATTTGATCTTCCATATGTATCTTCAATGTTACGTATTTGTAATATGGATAACTGCAACCATAGTAGAAAGCTAACCTAAATGGGTAGAAATATAAAGAAAATTAAATATAATAATAAAAGAGACCTTGGATTTCATTTATTGATTCTCAAAATAATATATTATAACTTAATATATAAAACTTTAAATATATTATAGCATTACTATAAATCATTTCATTTGATTTCCGACGTGAAAATGATATAATCTCGATCGCACCATATAACGAATGACGATATGAAAACTTGTTATTTATCTCTCGGTTTTTGAAAATCAAGGTGAAAAGTGACACTGATCATGTTTTTGATCTCTAACAACTACATTTTTTGTATTTTTCAAAATCGTACTACTTTTTACTTCGATTATTAATAATAACTGAAAGGTAAAGTCTTGTATACAAAATTTTAGTTTTAACTTTTTTTTCTCCGTTTTAATCTGTAAAATATCAAGTTTATTAACAAAATCTAAATCTTGCTCATCATCATCAACAACAACACCAATAACAACAACAAAAACAAAATCAATAGAATCCTTAAACATAAATTTCAACAACAAAAAGGACAACAAATCCATGAAATCATTAAACATTAAATCTCAACAACAACAACAAATAAATAAAATCAATAGATTGTTAAATATTAGTAAAAGCAGTGCTTAAGTCGAAATTAATCAATCATTTTATGGAATTTTTCACGAAATTGTTTTATATCTTGGCATGTTATTAAGAAATTTCTAAAAATTTCATTTTTTATGATAAGCATGTCCATTTTTTTTCATATATAATTTGTAGCAATCAGGTGTTTGAATCTCATAGAATAAAATAAATAATCACTTTAGAAGAAATCCCATATTTGATAAACACGTGTACATATTTGGTTTTCTATATGTATCTTCAATGTTACATATTTGTAATATGGATAACTGCAAACGTAGTAGAAAGCTAACCTAAATGGGTAGAAATATAAAGAAAATTAAATATAATAATAAAAGAGACCTTGGATTTCATTTATTGATTCTCAAAATAATATATTATAACTTAATATATAAAACTTTAAATATATTATAGCATTACTATAAATCATTTCATTTTATAACCGACGTGAAAATGATATAATCTCGATCGCACCATATATTAAATGACGATATCAAAACTTGTTATATATCTCTCGGTTTTTGAAAATCAAGGTGAAAAGTGACACTGTCATGTGTTTGATCTCTAACAACTGCATTTGTTGTATTTTTCAAAATAGTACTACTTTTTACTTCGAATTTTAATAATAACTGAAAGGTAAAGTCTTGTATACAAAATTTTAGTTTTAACTTTTTTTCTCTATTTTAATCTGCAAAATATCAAGTTTATTAACAAAATCTAAATCTTGCTCATCATCATCAACAACAACACCAATAACAACAACAAAAACAAAATCAATAGAATCCTTAAACATAAATTTCAACAACAAAAAGGACAACAAATCCATGAAATCATTAAACATTAAATCTCAACAACAACAACAAATAAATAAATTCAATAGATTGTTAAATATAAGTAAAAGCAGTGCTTAAGTCGAAATTAATCAATCCTTTTATGGAATTTTTCACGAAATTGTTTTATATCTTGGCATGTTATTAAGAAATTTCTAAAAAATTAAGATTTTATGATATGCATGTCTTTTTATTTTCCTATATAATTTGTAGCAATCAGGTGTTTGAATCTCATATAATAAAATAAATAACCACTTTAGAAGAAATCCCATATTTGATAAACACGTGTACATATTTGATCTTCCATATGTATCTTCAATGTTACATATTTGTAATATGGATAACTGCTACCATAGTAGAAAGCTAACCTAAATGGGTAGAAATATAAATAAAATTAAATATAATAATAAAAGAGACCTTGGATTTCATTTATTGATTCTCAAAATAATATATTATAACTTAATATATAAAACTTTAAATATATTATAGCATTACTATAAATCATTTCATTTTATTTCCGACGTGAAAATGATATAATCTCGATCGCACCATATAACGAATGACGATATGAAAACATGTTATTTATCTCTCGGTTTTTGAAAATCAAGGTGAAAAGTGACACTGATCATGTGTTTGATCTCTAACAACTTCATTTTTTGTATTTTTCAAAATCGTACTACTTTTTACTTCGATTATTAATAATAACTGAAAGGTAAAGTCTTGTATACAAAATTTTAGTTTTAACTTTTTTTTCTCCGTTTTAATCTGCAAAATATCAAGTTTATTAACAAAATCTAAATCTTGCTCATCATCATCAACAACAACACCAATAACAACAACAAAAACAAAATCAATAGAATCCTTAAACATAAATTTCAACAACAAAAAGGACAACAAATCCATGAAATCATTAAACATTAAATCTCAACAACAACAACAAATAAATAAAATCAATAGATTGTTAAATATTAGTAAAAGCAGTGCTTAAGTCGAAATTAATCAATCATTTTATGGAATTTTTCACGAAATTGTTTTATATCTTGGCATGTTATTAAGAAATTTCTAAAAAATTGAGATTTTATGATAAGCATGTTCATTTTCTTTCATATATAATTTGTAGCAATCAGGTGTTTGAATCTCATATAATAAAATAAATAACCACTTTAGAAGAAATCCAATATTTGATAAACACGTGTGCATATTTGATCTTCCATATGTATCTTCAATGTTACGTATTTGTAATATGGATAATTGCAACCATAGTAGAAAGCTAACCTAAATGGGTAGAAATATAAATAAAATTAAATATAATAATAAAAGAGACCTTGGATTTCATTTATTGATTCTCAAAATAATATATTATAACTTAATATATAAAACTTTAAATATATTATAGCATTACTATAAATCATTTCATTTTATTTCCGACGTGAAAATGATATAATCTCGATCGCACCATATAACGAATGACGATATGAAAACATGTTATTTATCTCTCGGTTTTTGAAAATCAAGGTGAAAAGTGACACTGATCATGTGTTTGATCTCTAACAACTTCATTTTTTGTATTTTTCAAAATCGTACTACTTTTTACTTCGATTTTTAATAATAACTAAAAGGTAAAGTCTTGTATACAAAATTTTAGTTTTAACTTTTTCTTCTCCGTTTTAATCTGCAAAATATCAAGTTTATTAACAAAATCTAAATCTTGCTCATCATCATCAACAACAACACCAATAACAACAACAAAAACAAAATCAATAGATTCCTTAAACATAAATTTCAACAACAAAAAGGACAACAAATCCATGAAATCATTAAACATTAAATCTCGACAACAACAACAAATAAATAAAATCAATAGATTGTTAAATATTAGTAAAAGCAGTGCTTAAGTCGAAATTAATCAATCCTTTTATGGAATTTTTCACGAAATTGTTTTATATCTCGGCATGTTATTAAGAAATTTCTAAAAAATTGAGATTTTATGATAAGCATGTTCATTTTCTTTCATATATAATTTGTAGCAATCAGGTGTTTGAATCTCATAGAATAAACACTACAACATTTAGGCTCTCCTGCAATAATTGAAAAACGTTGCCAGAACTCTGAAAATCGTTGCCTAAAACAATAGGGGACGTTTTCTAGGCGTCTCCTGTGCGAGCGTTGCCTATTGTTTGAGGCGACGTTTTTTTATGTTTTTTGGGAACGCTTTTGAAAAACGTTGCCTATAGTAAAGGAATAGGGGACGATTATTTACGGCCTCTGAGACAACGTTTTTTAAGCGTTGCGTTGCCAAATTCGGCTACAATTAACAATCGTTGCCTTAAACCTGAATCAGGAAGATCGTTTTTGAAGTGTAGCCATAGCTTATAGGTTGTTGTTTTATAGTATCCACATAAAATATACAATTTTGCAATTATTATCAAAATAATATAGTCAATAATAATTGGCTTCAAAAATAATATTGATTATATAACTTAAACCATACATCCATAAAAGTTGTAATATAATAAAATCGAGTTCAAACTTTAATTCAAGATATAGTATATAGAGTACACAAAATGCCTAACGTAACAATATTATTTTTAATACTTTGAAGTATGACCCTAGTAAAATAACTAAAAACATAGTTCAGCAAAAGAACAAAAATCATATTTCAAGTTTAATGCTTTCAACTACAAGCTAAAAAAAAGACATCATCCAACTCATTCAAGTTTGTCTTCTAGGATTAAAGCATCCAGATCGTCCTCTTGAAATTCGTTAGATATGTCATCCTCCATAAATTCTTCATCTACGTCGTCCTCTTGAAATTCACCATCTATATCCTCCTCTTGAAATTCATCATCTAGATCTATGTCGTCCTCTTGAAATTCGTCATCTACGTCGTCCTCTTGAATTTTATCATTTAGGTCGTCCTCTTGAATTTTATCATTTATGTCGTCCTCTTGAATTTCATCATTTATATCGTCCTTTTCAACATCTTCATTGATACATTGCTGCATAAGAAAATAAAATAAAACACATTAACCATAAGTATTTTTCGTCCAAAGGACAATTAAGACATCAACAAGAATCAACAAGAATTAAACCTCCTGAAAGTAAGTCACTGGAAGATGCACCGATGAATTTTGGACTGCTAGACATTTTACTACAGCTCATGAATTTTCTGTACCAGTTATTTTGGAACCTCGTGCCACCCAATTTAGTTGATGAAAGAGATCCATTTTTAGGATTACTGGTTCTGCTTGAAGCTTTTGCTTTAGGGGTGGGACTTGGAGTCTTTGATTCTTCTGTTTCAGCTGGAAAACTTTTAAGTCTTGGTTCACTATTTGTGTAGGGGTAAGATAAATATTTGCTTCTTTTCCGAAATCGAGATTCAGCACCTGTTACGAAGGGGAAAAAATTGCCCAATGAGTGACTTGTATCCAACCAACATCATGAAATCACAAAATTGTATTTGCAAATTGCATCATATGAAAAGATGCCCAACTAATCACAAACATTCAGCGCATTATATGACAATGAGGAATCAATTATGGAACCCCATCATAATAAGAATAAAACTAAATGATACATAACCAAAACAATGAAGCTTAGGTTAATACACGATGCTCTCTTACACTTCTACACGTGAAACAAATGCCTATAAGGAACTAAATGCATGGATTCACCGTTTAAAATCTATTAACATTCACCGATGGTTGTATAGTATGTGAAATAAATAGGGTAACATAATAAAAGTCTAGTTTTCATATGCCAAAAAGTGTCCGTTCATCATAATCAAATCATGAAATCATTAAATGATATATAAGCTCTAGAGAGTAAGCATTAGTACACTTAAATATCAAACTTGCATGACTATCATTAACACAAGAGACTATGTAATTTAATAGAGTTTTCACAGTGATGTTAAACTTGACACACATCCTTCCTAAAGCAACAATTTATAGCTTGGCTAGTAATAATGCATCGAGACACAAGAGTTCAATAAATCATCAACTATCGAAACATACATTTACAAGCATAGCACATCAGATTGCACAAACGAGATAACCAGTTAAATGTGAATAACTTACCCCCTCGAGTTTTCTGAGAAGTGCCCGTCACAGGGGTGTCGTCAGTGTTTTTAGCCCCATATTCACGTCCTGACTCTGACACATCCATAGCCCCAGTCTGATATAAGCAAGCAAACCAGATTCAGAAAAATACTTGGGCAAAGATTATGAAGCGAACATTAACAAAAACTCACAGATTAATTACAAGTGTATGACTTGAGGTATGAGTGCAAATCCAGAATTATCTTCCAAATGCAGAATTGCATGTACAGTGTAAATAGATTTACAAACATTCATCGATATGAATACATAAAAACAAACCGCTTTATGGAACAATTGAAGTGCAAAGTGAAGCTCTGATCTAGTGCGAAATGAGAGAGGAAATTTGGATGGAATCCCATCCTCAGAGACGCTACAAGAGAAGTTAAAAAACCGAAAATGAAAAATGAAAAAGAGGGAAAGGTGTAAGAAATTCTCACCATTCTCGGCGGTTGAAGAGAAACTCTTGGATTCTAGGATGCCCAATAAGAAAAATATTCGTTCAGAAATTTTACCGAACACTTGGTGGACATAGCACGAAACACTATGCTAAAAGGATACTTTGTCCTCTGACTACATTTTCTAGTTTCTCCTCATTTTCTACCAAAATTTCCTTTGAAGATGCAAACTGCACTAAAAATATAAAAGTGAAGAGCTAAAGTATTACTTGTACAGGTGAATACTTACTGCAATCATGACACTTTCATGGAATATCAACGGAGATATGAACACCCAAAAGATGTCGTAGGCAAAAGCAGAAGAGAGGAGTACAGTCGCAACCTATTAAATTAGATGAATAAGAAAATGACAATAATTGTAATTGATGACAAACAGAAAAAATTAAGAAAAGGAAGAATGGTTAATTAACTGTAGATATAAGGATTCCATTTAGCTACCTTAATATTGGGTAATTGAGCCAGCTGCAAGACTGTTATCATCAAACAGATTCCCTGTTAAGAACAAAAAATACATTAAGTGAACAGCTATCAGTCAAAGATCAATCACATAATTACTCATTGGTTTACAGTCTCAAACATGCTAGATAGCAAACAAACTTCCAGTGCAATGCTTCAGAAAGCTCAATAGGAACCAACCAAGATCCCAATGTTGTATTTGGCCCATGTGTGCAGACTCATACAGAGGCATTATTTAAAGATTTGACAATAATAAACTTGACGAGTATGTGTAGGGAAATGGGAATAATGGTCACAAGATTTCCAATTTATAGACTAATGAACAGCGCTCAAGTAATCAGGTTGTTAAAATTGTTAAAACTTCAAAGAACGGTGGATGAGGAACCAGTTGTTAAATCAATTGGAAACTTAATAGATGAGCTATAAAGTTTGTTAAACCATGAATTCCTGTTTTGAAACTTTTAATAGGACATGTTCACATATGAGAACTAGGAAAATCTGACTACAGAAACCATTGCAAACTTCTACTCTAGTTTATCATACAAAGCTTCTAGCTTCCTCTCAACTTCAAATGACAGACAGTATTCACAAACAACATTTAAGAAAGGGAATTGACTTTTGTCTGCTAGGCATCTGAACAAAGTAAGATTCAATTTAGATACTGCGGTGATAACAGAATTTAAAGAACTGTAATGAAGATACTAGAATATGAAACTTACAAAACACTCAGATTCAACTCAAACACAACGATACGAAATGCAACGCAGCTCTAGTATATCTTCTTTTCTTCACATAAAGTTCAGTCACTTTATACCAACATGTAGAAAACTGTGACATTAAAGAGAATCATGACAGAGAGAAAGAAAGATCAAATAATTATAACAAAATGAATTTTGATAATAAACAAAAGGAACGTATAACTAAAAGAGGCTTAGTTTGCATTTTATATTTTCTGTTTTTGGCCATTTCCCAGTACTGATCATAATCAAGTTCTTGCAGATATAATTATGAATTATATATTTAGAGAAAAACCTATTCTCTCAAAACTCAAGAAACTGTATATAATTCAAAAATGTCACATATTTAGAAATTGTACCATACAAAACCATAATATGTAGTCTTCTTTGCTCATCAAACTCAAGCATATATCATCAATTCCACCACTGCTTCAAAAGTACAATTCTAAAAGCTCTACTTTCTGATACAACTTTAGAATATTTGGAAAAAACCCAAATATTGAGACCCTTTTTATGAACACCTCTCTGTCAACTTCAGTCCTTCTCTCCCAGATATCTTTTATGATTTTCTCTCTTTATCACTCCATGTACCATGTGCATGCCCTCTCTATCATTATATATTATATATATTCTACTATATAATTATAACCTACACCAACACATTTCATGCAGTAGTAATAGTAAGTATTAGTAGTAGTACTCACGACTCACTCACCTACCCTCTTTTCTTTTGTTTTTTTGTCTTTGTTTTGTTCTTGTTTTCAGTCCATCAAACAAGATGGAACAACCTCAACAACAGCAACAACAAAATGATCAGGAAAATGGTGGAGGTGGAGGTGGCAGTAGCGAAAAAGGAAGTGGGTTCAGACAAAGTAGTACAAGGTGGACACCAACAACAGACCAGATAAGAATATTGAAGGATCTTTACTACAATAATGGAATAAGATCACCAAGTGCTGAACAGATTCATAGGATCTCTACTAGGTTAAGACAGTACGGTAAGATTGAAGGAAAAAATGTGTTTTATTGGTTTCAAAATCATAAGGCTAGAGAAAGACAGAAGAAAAGATTCACTTCTGATGTTAATGTTCTTCCCATCATTCAAAGAGCACCTAACAATATTTCTATTGCCTCTGCTAATTGGAAACCTGATCATGAACAACAACAACAATCCATTCTTCACACCAACCATTCCAATTACAACATTTCAAAAGAAACTAAGCTAACATTGCGCGAACCGCGTCATGCACATAATAAAGTATCAACCAAAACAGAATGCAAGTAAATTGTGTGAAAAGCCACATGTGAAATGTACACAATTATGAGTTACAAAGATCAAGATCAAAATAAGAAACCTACTTGCACATAAAAAAAAAACATTAACATGGGAGTACTGTAATATTTATATTGATTGAAATTGTGAAAGTGTTTATGTAATCTTTTCCATCATTTTCCATCAACCTTGTGAAAGAAATTGAAAATGAAAATGCAAAAGATAATACTTAGATTCAACTCAAAACACAACAATACGAAATGGAGATCGAAATATAAATGCAGAAATACATACAAACACAGCAGACGACTTGGACGACGTGGACGGCGGACGACGTAGACGACGGACGACGTGGACGAAAGCAGTTGGACGGCGAACGACGACGTGGACGACGAACACGGCGTGGCAGTTGGACGGAATGACGAAGAACACGGTGGAGGGTGTGAACGAAAGAGGTTTGACTCGGAGCGGAAGGACGGAGCGTCTAGGTTCGACGAAATGTGAAGAAGGGGAATCGTGCTTTTGTTTTCCTTATCTCTTTCTTTTTCTTTTTTTTTTATTTTCTATTCTGTTTAATGAAATTTTTTTTAATATATATATATATAAGTTTTAGAGAAATATTAATAATATGTTAGAAAAATTCTTGTTTAATTGAAATATATATAAGTTTTAGACTAATATATATATATATATATATATATATATATATATATATATATATATATATATATATATATATATATATATATATATATATATATATATATATAATTTTTTATTTTCTGTTTAATTGAAATTTTTTATTTTTAAATTCCTGTGTTAGAAAAATATTTTTTTTTATATATATTAATAATGTTTAGAGAAAAATATTTGTTTTTTAGTGTATAAGTTTTTGAGGGAAGATTGCCACCAAAAATTTGATAATTCTAAAAAAATTTATACAACATTTCATAAATGTAGCCTTTTATTAGAACTAATGTAACAATCTAAAAATGTCCCCAAAAATATTTTAGGGGACAATTGTCAAACATTGCTAAAGAAATAATATTTTAACACTCTAAAATCGTCCCCAAAAGCAGTTAAGGGCACAATTAACAATCGTTGGCAAAAAAATAAAAGACTATCGCTCCATAAATGTCCCCAAAAGTATTTTAGGCAACGATTATCAAGGGTTGCAAACATATTTTTGACAACAATCGTAAATCGTTGCCTATATGAATTTAAGGCAACAATTTCTACATGTTACCTAAAAAAGTGTTGCCAGAGACAACAAATGTTGTAGTGAAAATAAATAACCACTTTAGAAGAAATCCCATATTTGATAAACATGTGTACATATTTGATCTTCCATATGTATCTTCAATGTTACATATTTTTAATATGGATAACTGCAACCATATTAGAAAGCTAACCTAAATGGGTAGAAATATAAAGAAAATTAAATATAATAATAAAAGAGACCTTGGATTTCATTTAATGATTCTCAAAATAATATATTATAACTTAATATACAAAACTTTAAATATATTATAGCATTACTATAAATCATTTCATTTTATTTCCGACGTGAAAATGATATAATCTCGATCGCACCATATAACGAATGACGATATGAAAACTTGTTATTTATCTCTCGGTTTTTGAAAATCAAGGTGAAAAGTGACACTGATCATGTGTTTGATCTCTAACAACTTCATTTTTTGTATTTTTCAAAATCATACTACTTTTTACTTCGATTATTAATAATAACTGAAAGGTAAAGTCTTGTATACAAAATTTTAGTTTTAACTTTTTTTCTCCATTTTAATCTGCAAAATATCAAGTTTATTAACAAAATCTAAATCTTGCTCATCATCATCAACAACAACACCAATAACAACAACAAAAACAATCAATAGAATCCTTAAACATAAATTTCAACAACAAAAAGGACAACAAATTCATGAAATCATTAAACATTAAATCTCAAAAACAACAACAAATAAATAAAATCAATTGATTGTTAAATATTATTAAAAGCAGTTCTTAAGTCGAAATTAATCAATCCTTTTATGGAATTTTTCACGAAATTGTTTTATATCTTGGCATGTTATTAAGAAATTTCTAAAAAATTGAGATTTTATGATAAGCATGTCCATTTTTTCCATATATAATTTGTAGCAATTAGGTGTTTGAATCTCATAGAATAAAATAAATAACCACTTTAGAAGAAATCCTATATTTGATAATAATGTGTACATATTTGATCTTCCATATGTATCTTCAATGTTACATATTTGTAATATGGATAACTGCAACCTTAGTAGAAAGGTAACCTAAATGGGTAGAAATATAAAGAAAATTAAATATAATAATAAAAGAGATTTTGGATTTCATTTATTGATTCTCAAAATAATATATTATAACTTAATATATAAAACTTTAAATATATTATAGCATTACTATAAATCATTTCATTTTATTTCTGACGTGAAAATGATATAATCTCGATCGCACCATATAACGAATGACGATATGAAAATTTGTTATTTATCTCTCGGTTTTTGAAAATAAAGGTGAAAAGTGACACTGATCATGTGTTTGATCTCTAACAACTGCATTTTTTGTATTTTTCAAAATCGTACTACTTTTTACTTCGATTTTTAATAATAACTGAAAGGTAAAGTCTTGTACACAAAATTTTAGTTTTAACTTTTTTTTCTCCGTTTTAATCTGCAAAATATCAAGTTTATTAACAAAATCTAAATCTTGCTCATCATCATCAACAACAACACCAATAACAACAACAAAAACAAAATCAATAGAATCCTTAAACATAAATTTCAACAACAAAAAGGACAACAAATCCATGAAATCATTAAACATTAAATCTCAACAACAACAACAAATAAATAAAATCAATAGATTGTTAAATATTATTAAAAGCAGTTCTTAAGTCAAAATTAATCAATCCTTTTATGGAATTTTTCACGAAATTGTTTTATATCTTGGCATGTTATTAAGAAATTTCTAAAAATTTGATTTTTTATGATAAGCATGTCGTTTTTTTTCATATATAATTTGTAGCAATCAGGTGTTTGAATCTCATAGAATAAAATAAATAACCACTTTAGAAGAAATCCCATATTTGATAAACACGTGTACATATTTCATCTTCCATATGTATCTTCAATGTTACATATTTGTAATATGGATAACTGCAACCATAGTAGAAAGCTAACCTAAATGGGTAGAAATATAAAGAAAATTAAATATAATAATAAAATAGACCTTGGATTTCATTTATTGATTCTCAAAATAATATATTATAACTTAATATATAAAACTTTAAATATATTATAGCATTACTATAAATCATTTCATTTTATTTCCGACGTGAAAATGATATAATCTCGATCGCACCATATAACGAATGACGATATGAAAACTTGTTATTTATCTCTCGGTTTTTGAAAATCAAGGTGAAAAGTGACACTGATCATGTGTTTGATCTCTAACAACTTCATTATTTGTATTTTTCAAAATCGTACTACTTTTTACTTCGAATTTTAATAATAACTAAAAGGTAAAGTCTTGTATACAAAATTTTAGTTTTAACTTTTTTTTCTCCGTTTTAATCTGCAAAATATCAAGTTTATTAACAAAATCTAAATCTTGCTCATCATCATCAACAACAACACCAATAACAACAACAAAAACAAAATCAATAGAATCCTTAAACATAAATTTCAACAACAAAAAGGACAACAAATCCATGAAATCATTAAACATTAAATCTCAACAACAACAACAAATAAATAAAATCAATAGATTGTTAAATATTAGTAAAAGCAGTGCTTAAGTCGAAATTAATCAATCCTTTTATGGAATTTTTCACGAAATTGTTTTATATCTTGGCATGTTATTAAGAAATTTCTAAAAATTTGATTTTTTATGATAAGCATGTCCTTTTTTTTCATATATAATTTGTAGCAATCAGGTGTTTGAATCTCATAGAATAAAATAAATAACCACTTTAGAAGAAATCCCATATTTGATAAACACGTGTACATATTTCATCTTCCATATGTATCTTCAATGTTACATATTTGTAATATGGATAACTGCAACCATAGTAGAAAGCTAACCTAAATGGGTAGAAATATACAGAAAATTAAATATAATAATAAAATAGACCTTGAATTTCATTTATTGATTCTCAAAATAATATATTATAACTTAATATATAAAACTTTAAATATATTATAGAATTACTATAAATCATTTCATTTTATTTCCGACGTGAAAACGATATAATCTCGATCGCACCATATAACAACTGCATTTTTTGTATTTTTCAAAATCGTACTACTTTTTACTTTGATTTTTAATAATAACTGAAAGGTAAAGTCTTGTATACAAAATTTTAGTTTTATCTTTTTTTTCTCCGTTTTAATCTGCAAAATATCAAGTTTATTAACAAAATCTAAATCTTGCTCATCATCATCAACAACAACACCAATAACAACAACAAAAACAAAATCAATAGAATCCTTAAACATAAATTTCAACAACAAAAAGGACAACAAATCCATGAAATTATTGAACATTAAATCTCAAAAACAATAACAAATAAATAAAATCAATAGATTGTTAAATATTAGTAAAAGCAGTGCTTAAGTCGAAATTAATCAATCCTTTTATGGAATTTTTCACGAAATTGTTTTATATCTTGGCATGTTATTAAGAAATTTCTAAAAATTTCATTTTTTATGATAAGCATGTCCATTTTTTTTCATATATAATTTGTAGCAATCAGGTGTTTGAATCTTATAGAATAAAATAAATAACCACTTTAGAAGAAATCCCATATTTGATAAACACGTGTACATATTTGATCTTCCATATGTATCTTCAATGTTACATATTTGTAATATGGATAACTGCAACCATAGTAGAAAGCTAACCTAAAGGGTAGAAATATAAAGAAAATTAAATATAATAATAAAATAGACCTTGGATTTCATTTATTG